TTTATGATATTGATAAAATATAAATGAAAATATGTATTATTCTTCCATTTCTCAGATTTTTGTATTTGGTACACTTACCTTATACGAGCCCAGATTTTTAACAGAACAGGCCAATTTGACATTACGTCCCGCCGGCACTGTTATATTGTCAATGACGTCTGTGAATTCGGGATCCTCTTGAATGACTGCAATGAAATAAGGGAGTGAAAGTTATTTAGATATTCGTAATTAAGACAGATTCTCAAATTACGCTTCCCATTGCCAATGATATATTCTCTGTGTGCTTTTACAATTCCACGTAGACACGCCCATAAATAGCTGTTGCCCGCAGCAAGAGCTGTCAGGATTTATGGCAGCACTTAAAAGTTAATAGCTATACAGATTGAAGCCAGAGCGATTAGTCCAATGGCTTCTGCGAAAAAGTTTTGATAGAAACAAAGGCAAAATTATATATAAACTATGAATTAAGTGTTTAGCATTTGTGGCTCGTAAAAGTTTGTAGACTGAGATTATGGCAACACACAAGGCTAGCAGAACAATAAATCATAATTAAATTTCATGCCGTATGGCCTTTGAGCTCCGATGCCCATAAAACATTCCACCAATGTCCGCCGGATTGGCCCCTGGATCGAACAATCCCAACTCGAGCGCTGGACGCTGCTGCAGTTCAGCCTAGTGTGAAATTGCATTTCGTTGCATTGTTTGTGCCACTGACTGCCAATACTTGTTGTTATTACTATTGCAATTGTTAACGATACTTGTTATGGGCTCTGCCTGTGCCCCTGCGGCCCCATTGGCAGAATCCACACACCCACGCACACCCACACACAAAAGGAATTGGCTCTGCTCTGCTGTTCACTGTTTGCAGCATTAAAGGTGATAAATGTTGTGCAAACGTTTGGCAGTTTGGCAGCTTCGTGTAAACTGGGTTTGCTTAAGGCTAAATCAATGGTTTTATTCATGAACCCACTCTGTGTGTATAGGTATTTGGGCAAACAGCTCATGATGCATGACTTTCTTTTTTTTTTTTTTTTTAGCCGAACTCAACTGAAGCTATTTCATATGCTAGTATCTTTAAATATTTAAAAACTATGTTGAATGATTGGGGACTTTTAATTGAAAACTCTTCTTATGGGAACAAATTCAGATAAAAGCGAACTTTTATATAAAATAATATATAATACAAAATTTATAAATATGTAGCTGCCTTAATGGCTTACATTTAAGTTATTTAAACAGACCGCATTGGAAGAATATGAAATTTAATCTATCTCTACTTTGTATAGGGATTGAGCGGCACTTTAAGGTGTAACAAATTTTAGGTTGAATCCATTCCTCATGAGGCTTGGCATATTGGCATTCAGTCCACAGATTTTTGCCCTCGCAGGCGAACTAAGAGAAGCATAAACAGCCTTCAGCTTCATTATCTACTGTTCCTGCATTTTACTTTAAATATTTGCAGCATCTCTTTAAACTTTATTTGTGAATAAATATTTCTTCCCTTAAACTATGTATTTTTGTTCGTCTTTCATAGCCTCAAAATTATATATCAAATATTATACTTAATTATTTTTTTTAATTAGAAAAAAAATGAGTAAAACTAAATGAATAAAAAAATTTAATAAAACAATGTACTCATGTAGGGTAAATAAATTAAAAGCGCTGTAAATAAATATTAAATATCCGTTATCAATTACCAAGCATAGAGAATATTATTCAAGAACTTGGCTGGAATTTCTAAAATTTTTATTTAATAACTATTAAAAAAAAATAAATAAAAATAATGAATAAAAAAAG